AAAAAAAAAAGCATAAAAAATTTAAACGGAATTTAAATGAAAGCCTCAAGGCCACGCCGCCATGAAATGTCTAGCCTCTTTAAAGAATTTGTGTTGAGCGTGAAGAGGACGGCTTGATCAAACTGTGTGAGGAACACCAATTTGAGGAGCTGTATTTACTAATTAATTAACAAATGCATTTTTGTCTAGAGTTTTAATGCGCAACTGCAGTTGAGAATCAGCAGTGTCTGCTGGAAACTGCTTAGAAGTAATTTCAACTTCAATGAATCTTTTATTGTTCCATTATAGTTAATTCCCATGTGTTACAAAACTCAAACATCACAAAATAATGATTCAGTCACTTCAATAATGTGAACGCAATCAAGCAACAGATGAAATGGTGAGTCTGTTGCTCGTTAGCTTGGCCCCTGTTGTCATGAAACATGAAATCATGAAACTGTTTAATTCAGACTAACTGCTGTACACTCATAAATAGTGCCAATACGGCTCCCTATCCTAGCATTTTATGTGACATCACACTGTATAATCGCTGCCATTTTGAGGACCAAATAGGGAACTTAATGTGCTAGTGAGTTTGGACAGCTATGTTTGCCAGCTATCTATGCTTTGGGACAAATGGGATTATATCAGCAGCAAGTATTGCTAGAAATTAGCAAATGTTACGTAGTTAGCTGATATCAATTTACCCTTAATATAAAGAGTTTCTTTTCCTCTTGATGAAATGCACTGGAATCCTTTACCCACCTGGATGCGAAAAGCTGGGAGGCTTCTGTGCTCTTAAATGCTTTGAATCACTCTCCAGAAGGGAGGGGATAGGGAGAGGGATTGTGTATACAGTCAGGTCCATAAATATTGGGACAGTGACACAGTTTTGGTAATTTTACCTCTGTACACCACCACAGTGGATTTGAAATGAAGCAGTCAAGATGTGACTGAAGCGTAGACTTTCAGCTTTAATTCAAGGGGTTTAACAAAAATATTGCATTAACTGTTTAGGAATTACAGCCATTTTTTAGAGTTCCTCCATTTTC